TGACCAGAATCGAACCCGGGACCTTTCAGTCTGCAGGCCGACACTCTATCCACTGAGCCAAACCAGTTTCGGCAATAACTTAGTTTTTTTACCAGTAGTGTTTCTCACATCTTCTCCCGTACTTGGTATTATCAAATTTTTAAATCGTTGACAAACTAGTGGATTTAATGTGTCATTTTAAATTTGATTTTTTTTTCAATTAGTCTATCATCTCTGGCTTTTAGTAGTTAGTTAGTCTTTTGCATTCATTTCTCCCATCTTATTTTATTTACTTTGTTTCACTTTTTCTGGGTTTTTTTGTTCCTCCTTTCTTCCTTAGTTTGACTTTATTGCAACAGTTTTTTTGTTATTGTACTGTTTCCAATGGCTCAGAAGTTACACATCCTTACCCTATTTATATAAAGGGATTACTTTAAAATGTTAAGGTCCAGATCCAAATGAATACTAAATGAGAAAAAAAAAATGCAAGACTATAAAATGTAGGTTGGTGAAGGGTAATCAGAGGTCAAATAGCCTTTCATAGTTAAAATTCTCATTTTCTGTCTAAAAAAAAATGCCTTCCTTTGCCCTTGATAATTAAAGAAGTTCTGTTACTGGGTCAGTATGAGAGAGAGAGAGTGAGAGAGAGAGAGAGAAAATATTACTATAGTATCATAAAGAGTAGTTTTAAAGCCCTAAAAAATAATAATATATAGACTTCTGCTTCCAGGAAGATAGAGGATATATGATTTTTCCTAATTCTCATGCTTGAAACAGAAAAACGCTTGCACATTATATAGTAAATAAGCCATTAGATGACACTGAACTTTGGAGAGAAGCTAGACTATACTGATGTCAATATTCTTGCTATGATATTGTGCAATATATTTTTAAGATCATAACGTTGGGAGAAATTGAGTAAAGGGTATATAGAATCTCTGTGAAGTTACAATTTTATGTGAATCTACAATTATGTAAGAAAATGTTCATCATCAAGATGTCCATACTACCCAAAGCAATCTATAGATTCAGTGCACTCCCCCATTAAAATACCAATGGCATATTTCACAGACCTAGAACGAACTTTCCAAAAATTTATCTGGAATAAAAGAAGACCCTGAATAGCTGCAGCAATCCTGAGAAAGAAGAACAAAGTAGGTGGGATCTCACTACCAGATATCAAGCTGTATTACAAAGCCACTGTTCTCAAAACAGCCTGGTACTGGCACAAGAACAGACATATAGATCAATGGAATAGAATAGAGAACCCAGAAATCAACCCAAACCACTATGCTCAATTAATATTCAGCAAAGGATGCATGAACATACAATGGAGTCAAGACAGCCTCTTCAATAAATGGTGTTGGGAAAATTGGACAGATACATGCAAAAAAATGAAACTAGACCACCAACTTACACCACACACAAAAATAAACTCAAAATGGATAAAGGACTTAAACATAAGATGGAAAACCATAAAAATACTAGCGGAATCCACAAGCAGCAAACTCTGAGATATATGCCGAAGCAATTTCTTCACTGGTTTCACTGGTACTGCTCCTAGGGCAATGGAAACTAAAGAGAAAATAAACAAATGGAACTACATCAAAATAAAAAGCTTCTGCACAGCAAAAGAAACCATCAACAAAACAACAAGAAAGCCCACTGCA